CCCCAAAACCCCAAAACCCCAAAACCCCGTGATCATGATTTTTATGTTTTTAATGTTCAATGATCAATAAAATCAGATATATATAATTGTAAAAATATCACAATAATGGCAGTTACAAAATCATCATCAAGTTTTCCAATCATCAATACCATTATTATCCTCTAATTCCTGATTTTATTGCAGTAATTCTCTGCCTTATATTATATCTTCAATCAAATCAGGTTCATCTTGGAATTTTTTACTTTTCTAAACTACAAGGCCCTGACTTACATTCACAATAGAGTGATCTATTTCTGAGTTTTATTTTGTGGGTAATCCCATATCCCCCTTGAGTCTTTCAAGTAGAGTCTAATTTTCTGTCAGATTTCTAGCATCTTCAGCGAAATCTTTAAGCTTTCTGATGAACATTCCTCTCATCATGTTTCGTTCTAAAGGCTCTAGTTGTTTGCCACTAAATCCAGTCATCATTTTTTTAAGTTTACCGAACATCACAAGTCTAATCAAAGGATTGGTATTTTCCATCAGTCTTACTGTATCATAATTATTATTGTCAGAGTCTGAAGAAGAGGAACTAGTCTCAATTAAGTTCTGCCTCTAGAATTTTAGAACAAGTCTATGTTTTTGAGAGAGTAATGCCTAAGCAAGCATCTTGAATTTCCTCAGAGTTTTAACTATTCTTATTGCATCTAGTTCCTATCCAAATTTTTCCTGCGCTTTATCAAATAAAAAGTGCCTTTTGTAAAGTTTTTTTCTTCTGTTTTCCTCAATATTTCTGAAGCACATACATTTCAAGATGTAATGAATTATATCTTATATTGTATAAGAGAATCTACCTCTATTCAAGAAGGCGAAAAGGACATTTCCAATATCTTTTTATTCAATTTTATCTTTAAATTTGAATTCTTTCTCAATGCAAAGATTGTTCTTTTTCTTTGATGTTAGTTACTCCTTTGAATTCATCAGTAACTTTGGACTAGATTAATTGATAATTTTGGGGAGCTCCAACTTCAGGATCTAGAGTTCCTTTCATTATACTGTCATCTAATCGAGTAGGAACAGGCCCATTACTTGGGTAGATTTACGAACGATGATTAGTTAATCCAGTATATGAATTTAATCTCTTGTGAGGTTTGCTACTTTGATCACTTGCTTTAGATTACCTTGATTTTCAAAGTTCTCATATTTTCTGACGCTATGCCACAAATCCGACAAAAAACATACCTATTGATATAAGTGACCTTGAAGAACTCCAACATCACCCAAAAATTCTAGAAATCCATAAACTTTCCTTTCATAATTATCATAGGTTCTTTCAAACCTTTTATAAATTGCAATCATGTACCCATCAGCATCAGTATATTCATCGTCGTAGGATTTAAAATTTGTAACCTAGTGGAATTCAATGAGTTCTGATTGTCCAAATTATAAAAGTGAATCTTCGAGCTCTCCTTCAGATTTCTACACATAAAAATTAGCTTTTTTCACTCTTTGGGACTCCACTTCAAAAAGCAATGAGTCATCTATAAAATATTGAAGTCTTTCTTTTGGATCATAACTATCTAGTACAAACTGAGTATTAATGAATGCAAAGCTGAATGTTTTGTCTGAAAAGTATTTCTTTATTACAGTCTCGTTAGCACACTTTAGAGTAGGATCTAATTTAGGACCACATTTCCATAGTTTAAGCTCAAGATATTTATATTCTTATGCATAGTAGTTGCCCTTTAATTCATAATCATTAGTTTTAAGGCATTTCATTTAGTCTATCTCAAGGTCAATTATCTCTTGCTTGTCCTCATATCTAAAGAGTTCAGTGCCACATGATGTTAATTCAATTTCTTCAGAAGGTTTCTTAATTCTTTTCAATTGACCATCATTCTATTTTTAAAATTCAAATTCTATTTATTTGACAGAAAACTTTCCAATATTTGCTGGTATTTCTTCTCCAATTCCAAAAGCAAAATCAAACCCAAGATCTTGAGGTCTGAAAGCTGGTTCTTCTTTTAAATCTCTAAGAAAACTAGTCTTGATTACATTCGGATTCCATCTATTAACTAGGTAAACAAACTTGTAGACTCCGAAAAGCATCAGAATAAGAATAAGAACAAGGGATACTGAGGCACCAAAAGTGGTCTTAAACTAATCAGCTCCGTCATATGTAAAAGTAACTGTCTAACCGAAATAATCAAGTGATTTAAATTTATCTTTCATTTGCTTCTTGCAGGCATTGTTGTGAGCCATTTTATCCTGCATGATTACAGACTACTTCTTTGACTTGTGTTTTTTATTCGCTTGTAAGTTGTGATTTTATTACATTTTAATTAGTTTTAAATTGAATTGGTAATCAAAAGCAATTATTTAAATCTTGAAATTCTAAATGTCAATCAATAATTTCACTGTGATAAATTTAGCTTGAAAATAATCAAAATGGGGTTTTGGGGTTTTGGGG